AGCGGAGTTTAGGGCTGTTGTACATAGGGTCGCTATGAGTCGCAGGCGACTCGACGGCACTTAACAACAACAACAACAATGGCATATAGATACATGTCTGTAGGAATACAATATACTGATTCTAAACTTTTAGTTGCACTTAATTGTAGTTTGTCGTTAGGTGCCATCAGGTTGCTTTCAATTCATAGCAACCCTATGTACAGTATCTCCGAACCCTGCTCTATTGTGAGCCAATTTCATTGTCTCCAACACACCTATCCCTATTGCCCCAGTCACTGAGTCAATCCATCTCATCCTGTGTCTTCCTCTCTTGCCCTGTCCCTCCACCCTTCCAACCATGATGTCCTTCTCCAATTACTGGGCCTTCCTGGTAACATGCACAAAATATGTGAGACGGAGCTTCAAAATCCTTGCCTCCAAGGAACATCCTGGTTCATCCTCTCCAGGACAGACCTATTTGTTCTCTTAGCAGTCCATGTTATATTCAATACTCTTTTCAGCATCACAGCTCAAAGGCATCAATTCTTCTTCTATCATCTTTAGTTATTGTCCAGTTCTCAGGTACATAGCAAGTAATTGCCAAGACCATGGCTTGAATCAGGTGTACCTTAGTCTAGACTGACATCGTTGATCTTCAGTACACTAGAGCAGATTTTCCCAGTGCAGTTTGTATTCTGATTTCCTGGCTGCGGATAACACAAGTATTGATTGAGCCAAGCAAGCTGAAGCTATTGACAATCTCTGTCTCAACTCCATCTATCATGATGTTGCCAACTGACCTAATGGTGACAGTCTTTGTTTAAGTAACATTTGTAGTTAGTGTAAGTAACTTTTAAATAGTCACCTGTGGCCCAAGGTTATAGCACTGGACAAAGCCAGTGAGTAGGTCTGGCTTTTCTTCAGTCATTGGCATTGCTGACTTATTCCTTGAGTCTCAGCATCCTTCATGAAGCTCCCGCAGCAGGGGAGTTTAAGCAGGAAGCCTAAGGCTGGGGCTGCCTGGTCTGGCCGAGGAATGGCCTCAGCTCTGCTCCAGCTCCAGCCACTCAGAGTCTCTGCTCCCTTCTTGAGCCCTTGGCTCCTTGCTGACCTGATGATGAGTCTAAGCCTGAGGACTCTTGCCTGCTGAGTTTCAGGCTCTAGTCTTCCTGGGACAGTTTGAAGCTAATTCAGAGCATGAGTGTATTCATTCATTCACTCATTCAGCACTACCTGTTGACACCCATTGTGATAGGATTATTCAGTGGGGTTGGCATTCCCCCCAGAGTTGGGTGGCAGTCCTCTGTGTCCACCTTGCCTGCTGGTTTTCTCTCTGCCCATTGTCCTACTTGTCCCCCAGTGTTTTTGCTGATTGCCCAGGAATACCCCATCCAGGTCCAGAAGGCTTCACATCTGGTTCTGAAATGCCTAGACCATCCTCAAAAATGACTTTTTTGGTGTCCAGTTTGTTGTACCCTAGTCCTCCAGAGCTGCAGCACCCACTGAATTTGCCCCACAACATTGTGAGTAAGTTGGTATGTCAGGATCTGGGCAGTCCCAGAAGTCTGGCGGCTAAATTCCATGTTTCCTTCCATCTAGGATTTCCCTTCAACAAGCCTTGCGTGGCCTCTCAAATGCCAAAGGTTGAGGCTTCCGACCGGCAGACAGGAGATGAAGAGGAGGAAAAGGTGGCTGTCTGCATGGGTGAGGTTCAGGACTTGGGGTAGGGAGGTGGTATGACACCCTCATCCACCTGGGCTTCCAGTCTGCTTTCTGCTGGGCAAGGACACACCTTTCCCCTTCTGAGGCTGTCCCTGGGCAGGGCTGCCTCCGCCTTTTGCTTCCAGGTTTATTTCCCAGAACTAGCACCCCTCTTAGCACAGCCTCCATGCGTCCCTTAGAAAGCTCTCCTCACTGGACAACTTCTTTCCCAGAATCTGTGGAGTTGGGGAAGGAGGTCCCAGCCTTGACTGCCCCCAAGGACATGAAGCCTTTCAGAACCAGGGAGTCCAGAGTCTTGGAGGGCACCTTGCAGTGTGAGCAGCCAGCTGCCAGCAGCCAGCAATCAGGACAGACCAAGGACAACAAGCTTCCCAAGCCTTTGGAGCAGGGACCGCTGATGCCAGCCACTAGCCTCCGAAAGACCCAGAAGGACTGTGTCTCTGAGAAGTTCTCAGAAGAGAAGCATGCACCTGCAGCTGCCACCACCAAGAATAGTGTGGCTGTGGAGAACCCCACAGACACAGGCTTGAGCAGTGAACAGGCCCAGGCTGGTGAGGGCAGTGGCCCAAAGAAGACACACAAGTGCGAGCAGTGTGGGAAGGGCTTCAGCCATCGTTCCAACCTTAATGCCCATCGGCGCATCCATACAGGTGAGAAGCCCTATGGCTGCCCTGAATGTGGCAAGTGTTTCAACCACAGCTCGCACCTCACGACCCACCAGCGCACCCACCGTGGTGTCCGGCCCTACTCCTGCCTCCTGTGTGGCAAGAGCTTCACCCGCCACTCAACACTCATTCAGCACCAGCGGATCCACACAGGTGAGAAGCCCTACTCTTGTGACCACTGTTCAAAATGCTTCACCCGCCGCTCAGATCTGGTCACCCATCAGAGTACCCACACTGGCATCAAGCCCCACAAGTGCTCCTTCTGTAGCAAGTGCTTCACGCAGAGCTCAGCCCTGGTCACCCACCAGCGTATGCACACTGGTGACATGCCCTACCCGTGCCCTGAGTGTGGTAAAGGCTTCAGCCACCGCTCCATCCTCATCGCCCACAATCGTATCCACACGGGCGAGAAGCCCTACCATTGCCTGGACTGTGGCAAGAACTTCAACCACAGCTCACATCTCACTGCCCACCAGCGCATCCACCGCGGTGTCCGGCCCTACTCTTGCTCTGTGTGTGGCAAGAGCTTTAGTCGCCGCTCCAACCTTCACCGCCATGAGAAGATTCACACCACAGGGCCCAAGGCCCTGGCCATGCCATTGGTGGCGTCAGAAGAGGTCCTGGCCACACCCCCAGCCACGCCAATCAAGGAGGCTGGGAGAAGGCGTCAGGGCTCCAAGGAGGAGCAAGGGCAGCAACCAAGGGAGCGAGGAAGGCGGAAGAAGGCAATCAAGGAAGAGGCTGGCATAGAGGTGTGCGTGGTAAAGTGTGAGGAGTCGGAGCCCGAGGAGCCAGGTCTCTAGCTGCAAAGGAGAGGCCTTGAAATTCACGTGATGTAGACTCTGCCAAATGAAAATGGCTCTTATAAATGAACCCTGAGATTACAGTCAGTTGGAAAGATCATCCGCCTGCAGTGGTGTAAACTTAACCTTTTTGTTGTTAGTTGCTGTTGAGTCAGTTCTGAACACTAGCTAGAACACGGCCCTGTCCTGCACTATCCTCACAGTCTCTGCTATGCGCAAGTTCATTGTTTCTGCAACTGTGCCCATCGATCTCGAGGATTTCCCTCTTTGACTGACTTTCAACATTGCCATTGTTGCATAACATTGAGTTGAAACTGACTCATAGCTGACCCTCCAGGGGTTTTTCAGAGACATTAAGTGACACCGGAGGAGATGCCCATCTATCTTCTGTGGAGTAGCTCCTGGGCTTGAACTGCACCTTTGGGTTGGCCATGCAGTTCCTTACCACCAAGGCACCAGAGCTCCCTTCAACATTATAAGTTACAACTTGAACTACTGCATATACAATTTTAAAAAACCTGTCTGGACCTGTAGTAATCTGAATAATGGCCTCCAAAGTTATCAGGTGGAGACCCTGGAATCCTGTGTGGAAATACTACCTTATAAGGAAGGAGGTGTCTTTGAAGTGGTTAGGTTAAAGCCCATGACACTGGGGAGTAATCCTGGATTATCCCCAAACCAAACCCATTGTCACTGAGTTAATTCCAATTCACAGCTGTCCTTTAGGAATGACTAGAACTACCCCACAGTGTTTCCTAGAAACATAGAAGCTGAGTGACACATTCTCCTAGAATGGCTTGTTGCCAACTGGTTCACCACTGTGCCCCCCAAAGCCTCAATCCCTCTGATGTGAATTTGATTCCTGCTTACAGTGTACCTATGTACAACATAATGAAACTGCCGAGCCCTGCACCATCCTGAAAATCATTGCTGTATTTGAGCCCATTTTTGTTAGGTGCTTTGTCAGTCCACCTTATTGAAGGTTTTCCTCTTTTTTGCTTACCCACAACCATACAAGCTGCTATCCCCAAGGATTAGTCCCTCTTGACAAAATGTCCAAAGTATGTGAGAGAAAGTTTCACTGTCCTTGCTTCTAAGGAGTATTCTGGTGGCACTTCTTCCGAGAGAGATTTTTTCTTCTGGCAGGCCACAGTACATTCAGTGGTCTTTCACAACACGATAATGTGAACTTGTCAGTACCTGCTTGGCAGCTTGTACAACTGATGAGTTTTATTTACAAATGTTGGTAAGGAAAAGTCGTAGATTAGTGAGCTAGTAAAACATTATGAATTACAAATTTGTATTAAGGATAAATTCATGAATGTAGAACTGCAAGAACACAGACTAAAATATTAATAGTTTATTCTGGTTATTGTCTTTTGCCTTCATTCTTTCAACAAATACTTATTTTGAGCCCCTACTGTGTGCCAGACACAACTGTGGGTGCTGAAGATAGTAAAATCAGTGTCTGCGCTCATGGAGGTTACACTTAAATGCTGAGAGAGAAATTATTACACAAATGTATCTCATCAATCCCAGAGGTGCGCGGTTCAAATCCACCAGATGCTCTGCTAAAGGAGGAGTAACAATCGCCTCCTGTACCAGTCAGATCCAATTTAACGGAGGGAGGGAGGGAGGGAGGAAGGAAGGAAGGATGGATTTAATATAATGTGAAATAATAGGAAGAAAAGTCAGCTATGTGGTAGGATGAAGGCAGTGTTTGGAGAGGGTTAGAGAAGTCCTCTTTGAGGGGCTGACATTTGGATCAGGGCACTTTTATTATTTGCCACATTAACCTTTTTTACATGCTAAGCATATACCACTTGCATAATTAAAAGAAAAAGGATATAGTTTTCCTTTGATGCTTGTAGGAAGTAGGGGTGGATCCAGGTTCAGTGAAGAGAATGAGGAAATTTCTAGGAAACTGAAAATTTCTTTTCCACTCCCAGCGGGCAGGCAAGAGCAGTTGTAGGACAGGGTTTACTCCTGGGCCAGAGTTTGGAGCCCAGTCGATGGTATTTACTAGGACGCTCCATACCATGTTGTGTCCTCTAAAGGACTTCTGACTCAGTATTCTTAGGTGACTGCCTAAAATTGCCTGTGGGGATTCCCAGGCTGTAACCTTTACAAACAGGTCCGGAGACCTTTTACTCCATGGCGTATATACTCAAACTTGATTTCCATTTGCTGCGGACTCAGCTGACTCTCCACCAGGTTTTCGGAGGCTGTAGAAAGCATGAGAGGAGAATTCTTGCTTCTCTTTTTCCGGTGGAACCGCTGGTAGAAATACCAGAGAGGCACTGCCTTTGGACTAGTTGCTCCCTCCGAACTATCTGCCAGAGCCCACTGCTGCCCACCTTAAAGGATCAGGAGTAAGCGCCAGGGCCCTCCAACTCCCAGATAAACTTGGACCAGAAGGCCGGAGCAAGTTCTCAACCCAGCGCATTCCTTGCAACAGAACTGGTGCTCCATTCGTGGCTGGGTCAGACCTTGATTTTTCCTGGAAAGCAAAAAGCATCTCACGTTTTCACTAGGGCGCATGAATATGGCGTAATGCCCTTTGCTGCCTTTTGATTGGTAGCCTCCGTGGATTCTCCCCGTTCATTGGCCCTAGCACTCTACCGCCTGGTGGCTCGGGTCGTTGCTGTGGCGCACCAGTTAACGCAGCTTTTCGACGAGCCCCGCTGGTCTCTGGCGCCGGAACTGTGTATCCGGGAGGCGGGGCCTGGGCGCCAAGCTGCCAGGCTCCAGGAACGGCTTGGGCAATCTGTGCTGGATCCAGTGTTCTTCTCCGCAGAAATTGAAGGGTGCACCCGGCTGGGAAGTGCCGGGGAATTCGGCTCACTCATCGTTCCCTTGGTCTCTGTGCAGACCCTTCGAGCGCGCCTTGCTGCTCGTCCGCTGCCTCCTTAGCCTTGGGCTGCTGGTGATTGATCAAGGAACGTCCTCGTCCACCGTTCCTGCCTAGTGTGCTCTGCTCAGCGAACCTGGTGAGTCCCTGATCCTCTCCACGCAGCGCTTCTCTGTCATTGAAGGGTAAGGACGGTGATGTGAAGAGTAGGACAATTTGGCAGCAACTCAAATGCATCACTGGGTAGTCGGTTCGGAGCCTGGCCCACGTTTTTGTCGGAACCTTGTGGCACTCCCCAGTGAAGAAACAGTGTTAAGTCTGCGGGATCCTGTGCACAGTTATCAGCGATCCTGAGTATCTACAGCTCCATTGTGGCAGGTCTTTCCTCTGCTTGGTGCCAAAAAAGACTTCAGTGCAATACTATCTGGTAAGGCTGACCTTTCACATCCACCCATATGGAACTTGAAAGGTAGACCTGGACATCTCCTTCCAGTGTTGTTGAGTGTTGTCAAGTTGGAACCGATTGAACTGATTCATAGCTGACCCTCTAGTGCTTTTGAGAGGCAATAAATCACACTGGAGGAGATTGCCCTTCTTTTGTCTCTCGGAGCAGCTGACATATTCAAATAACCTGCCTTTGAGTAAAAAGTGCAACTCCTTGCCCACTAGGCCATCAGAGCTCCCTTTGCTTTCTTCAGAGCAGTTTATATGTGAATTTACTTGAAGGCACTTATCTGGCTTATCTAGGGCTGCTTTTATCTAGTTACCAAAATACCACAAATGAGGACTTTACAAATTTGTTCTCTTGTAGTTTATGTCAGCTCTAGGGTAGGCCCTGAGGGAAGTCTTAGCATCTGTGGCCCCATGTGTTCTGACATCAGTCTTTTCCTCTAAGAGTTTTCTCTACGTATGAAATGCAAATGACGTGTTCACTCCATCTCTTCTTTCTTTTTCATGACCAGGTCCCTTTCTTTCTCTTTGATTTTTTTGTAAGTGAAAAGATGACAAGACCAAACCTCAGGGGGAAAACCCTTTTATCAAGTCAGAACTGGACCCTGAGTTGCATCCTACCCTTAAAGCTCACTCTTTGTTGGTCAGCTGACCAACCCTTCCCCATCATCGGGTTTTTTCAGGCTGTAAATTGCAGTGGAGGAGATTGCCTATTCCCCCCCCGCCCCATGTAGCTGCTGGTATATTCAGATCACCAGAGAGGCATAGCCTGGGTTGCCAGCCCAGCTCCCTTCATATTAGGCCACCAAAGCATCCCACCCTAGTACCCTTATTAGCTGATCGCATCATGGAGATTGAAGATGTCATTATATAACTGACAAACCATTGAGTATCATGGACGAGCCAAGTTGACCGATATTTTAGGTAGACACGGTTTAGTCTGTGACAGCAGCTAACAATTAGAACATCATCTATATCTATATTGAGAAGAGGCTTTAGGGCCACTGATGGATGGGAGCTCCCTAGAAATCCCTCCAGGGAATATTTGTTCCTCTGCACTGTTGACTCCCATCCTGCTGTTTTGTCCTTTCCCTAGGAGAGTGTGTCCAGATGTTGGGCCAGCCACCACAGCAAAGTCTTTTGGGAGACTGAAGAGCTGGCTTAGGCCAGGTAGTAGCCTGGATTAAGAGAATGTCTGCTCCCTCAGAGCCCCAGGATCAGGCTTCTGGGGAGGGAGAAGGGCTTTTGATTGTGAAGGTGGAAGATTCCTCCTGGGACCAGGACTCTGCCCAGCCAGAGGACAGCAGGAATGCTGAGACCTACCGCCAGCGCTTCCGGCAGTTCTGCTACCGTGATGCGGGTGGACCCCATGAGGCCTTGAGCCAACTCTGGGAGCTGTGCTGCCGTTGGCTGCGGCCGGAGCTGCGCACCAAGGAGGAGATCCTGGAGCTGCTGGTGCTGGAGCAGTTCCTGAGCGTGCTGCCGGGTGGCGTCCAGGACCAGGTGCGTGATCAGCACCCAGGAACTGGAGAGGAGGCTGTCGCCCTGGTAGTAGACCTGCAGAAGCCTGGGAAAGCCAGGCAGCAGGTGAGGGGGTCCCTCTACTTTCAGGTGAGGGTGTGGTGGGACTGACCCCTGGAAGACCCCTGCGCTGAAAGATCCAGGGCCCCTGTGGTTCAGGGGAGCACAGACTGGTGGTGTGCATCTATGATGTAGTGCTGAGGAAATCTGAGAAAGTAGAGCTGTGCTCAGGAGCCCACTGCCGTGGGCTTTGACACTACTGTGAAGTTTTTGGGTTTTTCTTTTTATAATTTTATTAGTTTTCATGAACATTTACAGAGATTTTGGGTTTCCATTCATTCATTGTTGCGCTTTTCTCCTTACCCACCCCTCCCCTCCAGTTCACTCCTCTCTTTGAAAAGTAAAAAAAAAAAAATTCTTTCATTGGTATACAATCCCCCCATACCCCGCCCAACACCCCGAGTACACTCCACTATGCAACCTTAATTCTGGACTCTTATGATAACCATAATACCCTATCATAGATCGCTTTTAAACTGTTCTCTCACTCATCTGTTTCAATGCAGTATACATAATTTATCCAGTTTTTCTCAGTCTTACCCCAACTCTGATGTCAGTCCCATTCTACAACAGTGGCACCATGTAGTATTTGTCCTTTTGTGACTGAGATATTTCACTCAGCATAATGTCCTCCAGGGTCACCCATTTTGAATAATACTACACGAGTCCCTTATTTTT